ATCATATAAGCCTGGGGTGCAATCGAATTTGGAATAATTTATTTGAATGCCAACTTTTCACTTGAAGTTAATGTAACTTACTTAGAATTTTGCTTCTCTTTTTAATATTTTACAAGAGGTATCAGGGCTTCTCATGGATGATTACTGCCAGAGTTTTACATCTATTTCTGTGCTCTTAGGCATATAATTGGGCATAACTTGTAGTTGTATGTCATGCCGCATTTTAAGGTAATGGGTCAACCTGGACAAGCAGCTCCTGCAATGCGGCAGATGTATGCACCGCCTCCAGGAATGATGAATTCTCAAGGTTAGTTAAGGCGTTCTTTACCTTAATATATGAAAGTAATGAGTGAGTTTATAGTCCCTGGACAACCCATGTATAGCCATCCATCGCAAATGCAGCAAGCTCATATGGTGCAACAACAACAGTTCCAATATTAGTGAGCTTTCATGAAAAGTCAATCAAGCGTTTTCATAATAGTTTCTCACTTAAGTATGTCTCGATTCCCACCTCAATGGCAACAAGATATCCACATGGAACAGAGCCAAGAGAGGAAAAAACATATATTTGGACAGTATGTACGGAAGGTAATGAATTTGACACCTACCTTGTCCTACGGGGAAAGATGTTTATTGTATAGTTCAACAATATGCAACAACAACAGCAGTCAAAAATGGTCTCTAACGGCCAGGGCGGTATGCTGCATCAACCAATGATGGGTATGTTGTGATCTATCATTTGGCAATTGAAATAATTGTTATTGCATTTTTTCCTTCTTATAAAATTCTAAAGAATTCGTGCTCTCAGCAGTTTTACTAATAACTGCAATCGTAGTCATATAGCCTGAAGTAATTCAGTGACTCATAAGAATGCACTTTTGCTGCTACTATACCTGGTATGATTTTAGCTGGTCTTTTTCTTATTTCGAAGTAGTAGTGTTTATATGAGACCGCACGAGTTTGATTGGTACGTTAAAGTGATGACGACAATTCCAATAGGTGTCTTCAGTTTCGTATACCTTCATCCTCTACTTTTTGCTGATTAATGTTCGCTGATGGAGATAGGAGTATACCTTTAGTTTGCAAAACTGTTGTATTGGATGACCGGAATGTTGTTGAGAATTTACTGCATAAAATTCAGAAGAAAAGGATTATTTTATGTTTTTACTCGTTCTTTAATATATTATTTGCTGGTACTGAAATTGCACGGTTATCACATTAATTCAAATGCCCCATGAATGGTGACCTGTTTCAAATCACACATTAATTCGTGCAGTTTGAACACAGCAAATAGTTAAACATGGCTGAATTTACAGTAAATTTTTGGCTGACTGTTGTAATAAAAGGTATTTCAGGACAAGGCCCAGTTATGGTCGGTCCGGCTGGTCAGCGGCCAGGTGGTTCAGGCATGTACACGCAACCGCAAGCCGGGGCTGTGATGTCGAGTACCGCTGGTCCGATGCCTGGCGCTTCCGGAGTACCTGGCGGTACTGCTTCCGTGCCTATGCCCCAACAACAAATGTAAGCGATCTGGGCTAATTTTTGAGTTTGAGCCTATTTGTTTATGATTAGGAGGATGCAAAACCATTTGAGTAGTGGTCCAACTTCGGTGCCACAGCAGATGATGACTGGCGCAGGAATGGGACCACAGTCCTCAGTGGCTTCTGGCGCTAGTCCTCAGGTACCTGATACGCAGGAGATGGCATACCTCTAATCATGAACTTCTGTATTGAAGGTGCATTCTAACTTCCCTAGCAGTCATCAAATGGCTGTAGGATCTCCTCATATGGCAGGAATCGGCTCTGCACCCGCTGGTATAGCGAACTCTCCAGCAACGTGTATTCAGCCGTCTACACCTCGTGAGTTCTTCGGTTATCAAAAAGTTTGCTTCGAAATAGGTTTGTGACATAGAAAATCCCTCCTCTGTACAACCTGGCAGTGTCGGACCCGGAAGCCAACAGCCTTCATCCGTTCCCAGTCAGGAAGAGAACACCAAAGAATACAACGATCTGGTACTTTTAAACTTTTAAACTTACAACGTGCATCTATCTTTATTTTTCTACTTTTGAACTATACACCAAAGATCTCATCAGATACATTTTGGGTGAGGGCAGTAAGATCATTGTTATGATTGTGATAACGTACTGGCTTTGGATCTTTCCTTTATTTTTTTCAATGTTTGAGTCATTATGTATCTACAGTAGCAGTAGACTAGAATGCTTCATTTGTGCAAGAAAGACTTCTGTTTCAGGTCGATAACTTAAGAGAAAAATATTATGAAAAGCTAAAGCGTATAGGAGATCGTTGTGACTTGGACAACAGCCCTAAACCGACTGGGTTCGATCGGTTGATGGAGATTCTAGATCGAAAACGGTAAATGCTGATAGTCATTTTTTTTGCGCAAATCCTAACAACAGTGTCTTTTTAGAAGAGTCTCGCAGTCATTATTAGAGAAAATTGTTGGAAACGTTCGCACCATAGTGGAACGTTCAAGTCTTACGTACCCAGTGATCGAGACAATGCACCAAATTGAAGCCGATGGTCAATCCTCGATCTTTGTAAATAACGATGATTTCCGCGCTGGACCGCAACAAGCTCCTCAAGCAGCTTTGGATCCGTGGCGATCTGTTCGGCATATGATGATCAAGTGCGCATATTTCACGTATTCATGTTCCGAAAAATCAGAAATTTTCTTGCAGAGTTCCTGAACATCTAGCAAACTTGGGTAATTCCGATGATGAATCGGAGGATAGTGGTGCAGTAAAATCATCTACCGCCGTTAGTGCTTCACTAAAACGTTCGGCACCATCTGATTTCAGTGATTCGGGAATTGAAGCAAAAGTGGAGAAATTTGGTAGATGGTTTTAATTCTTAGAAATAATCTATCTAAGTACATATCTTATGCTTTTAGATAATTCGCAATCCCCAGATCAGGGATGTGATTCTTCTGAGGATGAGAATATGCGGATAAAGGTGGGATGCAAAATTCAACATTCCGTTTTTTCACCCTTAAATTTTGCAAAGTATAGTTTGTTACATTCTGCTATAGGTATATATATACATATATAT